GGGGGGGGCAGTGCCAGGTTCTGGGATGTTTGCAAGGCTGGTGAAAGAAAGGGTGAGCGCTTCTCTGAAATCTAGTCCTGATTTTTTTTTTTTTTTTGCCAGTCCTGGGGTTTGAACTCTGCCTGGCACTGTGCCTGAGCCTCTTTTTGTGCTCAAGACTAGGGCTGTACCACTTGAGCCACAGCACCACTTCTGGCTTTATTTTTTTAAAGTACATTATTGAAGATAAGAGTCTCATGGGAACTTTCCAGCCCAGGCTGGCTTTGAACCATGATCCTCAGATCTCAGCATCCTGAGAAGCTAGGATTACAGGCGTGAGCCACCAGTGCCTGACTTCCTGATTTCTGAACGAGACTCAGGGTTGTCCTGCTAAGATTGCGCTAGACTACCTGAAGGTTATGTGGGCTGTGCGAGGGCCCCAGAGCCCCAGCCATAAGGAGGGGGAAGGGAAGAGATTTCATTCAAGGGGGACGTGGGGAGGGAGGAGCTTTCTCAATCTTAAGGACGCAGAAAGGGGCAGGTGAGAAAACCATCACAGGGAAATAGAGGCACCATGAACTATTCTCATGACAAAAAAGAAAAAAGGATCTTAGAATTTCATCTGCCTTACATTTTATGACAGCACTCCTAAGATCCGAGACTCGTTTTCTAAAATACATATATTCCTAGGTGTGGCAGGGCGACACAGCAAGTGTGCCACCAGGGTGAACAAACGGAAACTCCGCTTCCAGCCCAAGAGGGCCAAGGAGCCCCGGCCCCTACCGTCTCATTGTCCTCTTCATCCTTCTCCTCCTCTAAAAAGCGGATGGCGCTGACCCTGTGCACCGTGCGCTCATTCCAGGCCTCGTCTGAGTCGCCGCTCACCAGGTTCTCCAGCGCTCCACAGCGAGGCAGGTTCTCTGTGCGGACAAGCACCGTCAGCAGGCCCCTCTGCTACGGAGGGAGGGCCGGGAGGGCAGCGCCACACACGGAGCACAGTCCACTGGCTCACCCCACCCCACCCCGTCTTTGTTTTTTGTGTAAAAACACTGACATCAAAATCAAAGAGAAAAAGGCCTGCGCAGGTTCGCTCCCTTCTTCTTAGTAATACCTGTTGTCGTACTCGAGAGTGTGTACAGTATCTCCCAGGTTAGTGTGTTTAATGGTTCCTAATAGATGTCAGCATGCTGGCGGCCCTGGGGCTGGCCTCGGTCTGCCTGCACAGGCAGGTGCTCCGCCTCTCTCTGCAGTGCTTAGTTTGAAGCGGGGTCTTGCCTGTGCCTCCCTAAGTCACTGGATGACCGGCACATCAGTTGTCCAGCCACCGTGTCTTCCCTGGGATTACAGCTGTGTGCTCATCCACAGGCCCAGATGGAGTATTGCCAGCTTTTATGCCCAAGCTGGCCTCAAGTCTTGATCCTCTAACCTCTGCCTAAGTAATTAGGGTTCCACTTGCCTTCATAATCTTTTAACACACAATTACTTCAGAACTTTTCTGACTGGTTGTGGGTGCAGGTGGTAGATGCTGGTACCTTTCTTTTAGACTCTCAAAGGCTCACCTAACAGAGCTGAGTGGCAGGGTGACTGGGGAACCTTCCTCTCCCCAAAGCACTGCAGTTTCCATCATCCTAGCCCTCAGTGACAGATTTACAATAGCACTTTGTCGTGAGTGTGGATAACTTTTTAAAGTGCAGAACAACGCTATAAGGACTCACGCCAACCCCCAGCTTACGGACAGTGTGTGGTGGGGCTGACCACCGACCCTCCACTTCCCGGTCTCGACTTTAAGGGACCGCTGCCCTTTCCAGGGTACTACATGCTCTGCCTTAACGGCCATTCATAGCTAGACAGCTGCTTACAGAATCTCAGACACAATAAAGAGGTTCTTGTTCTGCAAGGACTGGGCCATCTTCCCAGAGATGCCCAAGCATGGCCTTCCCTGGGCTGGCTAGAGGGACCTTGCCTGTCTGGGTGGGGTGGGGGACACAAGGGAGCAGGAAGGGGCTCCAGAACCCCAGCTGGCTCTTGTAGCCATGAGAACACTCACCCTGACAAGCAGGCTCAGAAGGCAGCTGCGGAAGCAAGACACAGGTCAGTATCTTCTCCCCTGTGCTGTGGTCGGTGTCTGTCTGGAACGTGAGCAGGGGCTGGGACTGGTTGTCAGACAGCCACAGAGCCTTCAGCTTCAAGGAGGTCAGCGATAAAGGCAGATGCAGCAACCTGAAAGGAAACAGAGGGGACACCATCAGGAAATCAGCCCCTATCAGTAAGAACCAATGAGAACAGGGAGAAAACCAGCTCCAGACTGGGCTCCAAGGGCAAAAAGATGCTGTTTATAGTAAGATATGAGATTATTAGAGGACGTGATTTATGGTAAGAGATAAGCTTGGTAATGATATTGTTAGAAGATGTGATTTCTGGTACGAGATCTGCTCCTCCATAGACCATTCGGTAGGCACTGCCATAGCTTCTCTCTTTAGGACCTCAAGGCCGCAGGCAAAAGTGCTCTCTAGGGAGATTCTTGGGACACCCCACGGGCTTCTACCCATCCCCTGCTCAGGCTCAGGTCAGTAATATCCACATCAGAAAGACCACCTGAGACCATGTTACAAATTGCAATATGATACCTACTATCACTTTTACATTTATGCTTATACAAAGTAAACCTTTCAAAGTCATTTACACTGGGTACTGGCAAATATTACTTCAGAGCATCTGGCCTCAGCCAGGACACATTTGGCAGAATCTGGGGGCATTTCTGGCTATCATGCCTGGGCAGGGGACCGAGAGCCTGGGCCTTCAGGAAGTCGGGTGGGAACAATGCCCAGTACCCTAAGGTGCACAGGCAGCCCCACACAGGAATGCAAGGGTCACACTGGTCTACAACCCTGAAACACCCCTAAGGTGGATGGAACTTAATGCCGTGCGGTGCAGTGGCAGCCCCTCTCCCCCTTGAGAACTGTGGGCATGAGGCCTCGGCCCAGCTCCCCCCTGGGCTCTGTCCTCACGTAGGATGTACAGCAGTTATTTCTCCCCCACCCTAAACCTGTCTGACATGTTTTCAGATGCAAGCAAGTTTAAAAAAAAAAAACAAAAAGCATGTGCCAAGGATTTTCTTTTCCTGAATACCCAACGAGGCGGGGAGGCGGGGAGGCGGGGCAGCACGCAGCATGTATATGCCTTTCTCTGACCCTGGAGACGTGGCAGGAGGGCTTTGAATTTACCAACCCAGGAAAAGGGATCAAGATCTGTCCCCAAACCAAAATGTTAGTAGGGTTAGAATACAAGGGACATAGCTCAAGTGCAGAGTATTTGTCTAGATGTGTGAAGCAGCAGGGTTACCCAGGACCATCAGAAAAAAAAAAAAATCAACAAATCCATTACACATTGAGAAAGCTTCAAGTACCTCACAGTTTTCATTTTATAGAACATGAAGACCTTCCTGTTTGTTTGAAAGTGTTAACTGACACATTTGAGGATGTTTAAAGTTTCAAGTGTTGGGCAAGAAGCACAGAGTGAGACTCAGCACCGCCCTTAATCCTGACAGCACAAGGAAAAGGCAGACCTGGAAACTGGCACAAAACACAGACAGACGCAAACAAGGTCATGGCAACTGGGATTCAGAATAATGAATGGCTTCCGGGCTGCATGCTGAGCGAAGGAAGCGGCTCTGCGAGCGTCAGTAATAAATAAATAACAGCTTCTGTGGTTGACAATCAGGATGGGAAAAGCTAGAATAAATTACCAGTCTCTGCAACAGCAGGTCCTATAATCTTATTTCAACTCAGATTGTACAATGTCTAACCCACAGGCTTTCCTTCAAATGAAGTGCTGGCACCAGTGTGCACGCTCCTGGACAAGGTCACCGCACACGCGAGTCCTTCTTAGCCCTCCGCAGGCAGCAGGGTCACAAGGAAAGAGGACCCTGCCCCTGTCTGCCTACAGATTCTCTGGGCTGGACAGAACCTCCCAGAGCCTCAACTGGGGCCTCTTTCTCTTAGGTGACCCTGTCCAGCTGCAAGCCAAAAAACGGGAAGGAGACAGAGCCTGCTTTCCAGAGGCTCATAATATGTCTCTCTTTATTCCAGTACCTAGTATAGACACAGCAGCAGCCACCGCACCCATCTATACTCATCTGTTCTATTTAGGACCACGCTGCCCCAGACAGGAAAAGCCTGAGGCCACTGTCTATGCCCACAGCCCAAGGACGAGAGCGAAGAAGCAACTAAACCTCGCGCCTCTCCCTTCCGGGGGGGCCCCCCATGACCTTCCTTGCTTCAGAACTGCCACAGGAATTCCTTTCTTAATAACTAAACGTGGCTGGCTCATTAATGTTATGATAACCGTATGGCTTAATACAACTCACAATTTAAAGTTGTATCTGTTGTTACCCGTTATTGGAATATTTTAGCTTTAGCAAAGTTTTAAACAGTGTTCACAAGTATGTAACATTTCAAAGATAGTCACTGAAATAAAGCAAACAATACCAAAAATCTCTAGCGTGAAAGTCACTGTGCTCACAGGTCTGCTGCCTCGAGGGGACTTGTGTCCATTCTGGCAGACTAGCACACGGTATTGTTCCTGAGAACAAGAAGGCAGAAGTGAAAGTGTTTCCCATCATTCACATCCCTGCTCTTGGCTCTCAGCACTGCGGGTTCTCCCGGGTCTCATTTCCAGTTATGGACTCTACTGTTTTGTTGTCTTTTCAATTTTCACTTTTAATAAAAATTTTAGTTAATATTAGAACAAAATTCAATGTCCTAAAGTCTATCCCCACTGCACTGGTTCTGCCATTTGGCGCTACTATTATTGCAAGGAGAGTTGCAAACGCCGGACTTTGTGCAGCGGGAGCACATTTCAGGGGAGCTGAGAATCACCTCTCCCAGCCCTGCCGCTGTGCTGGGCTTCCGGGGGCTCACCAGCTTCGGGCCCCACTCGAACTTACCCTCTCTGCTCTCCAACAAAGTTTCTGTACACTCCCTGCAGTTTCTCGCTTGGCAAGTGCTATTTTTATATGCCTGAGAGGAGACACAGAAACGTCTGCTCTGTTTCCTGACATTTCCCATGCGTGGCACTTCTGCAGGCTGTGGAAGGCGGGCTGGGTGACCCAGCTTATTATTAGTTCCAGTGGCAATACTTCTAAACAGGTGGTGATTAAACACTTCCACAGGCCTTTGCCTGGGCCCGGCTGTGTTATACATGGGCGCACTCGGGTGACAGTGAGGTAACTCAACGTTTAATTAGATTTTTCCACTCCAACCCAAGCAGTGCAAGAATCTGCTACTTCTTTTTCTGAGAACAGGTGAAAAACAGTTTACAACCACCACCACCACCATCAACCGCCCCCCCCCCCCCGCCCACCGTGACCTGGAAGGCTCAGGCAGCTCACTCCAGCAGACGGTCCCCACCTGGCCAGGTCAGCCCTGAGCACTGACAGCCTCTCAGTGGTCCTAAGGGTCTATCAGGAAAGCATTCTCTTTAGAAAGGTGAGCACTCTCTGTCAGACTTCAATAAACCACCAGAACACTGGAAGAGGAGCTGTGGCTCAAAGTGGTAAAGCGCTAGTCTTAAGGAAAAGAGCTCAGGGACAGCACCCAGGCCTCAAGTTCAAGCCCCACAACTGACAAAAAAAAATCCTTCAGCCAGGTATAATGGTAAATGCCTGCAGTCTTGGTTACTTGGCTCAGGTAGGTGGGGTGGCTTGACCCCAGGAATCTGAGATCTGCCAGGGCAACATAAATGAGACCCCATCTCAAAGCACAACAGAACAAAGCACCACGAGTTGAACGGGACCACACTCACTCCAGCGGAGGGAAGCTAAGGCAGGCCGTGCCTTTCCCTCAGGCCAGCTCCTCCCCTCCCAGCTAGAAAGCATTTCCACACAAGTTTCCATTTGGACAAGATTGACCCTCACCAGTCCCCCTCCTGGCTTAATTACTCAAGAACCTTCTAGAGCCTGGGCCTGTGATGTAACCAGCAGGCTGTTCTGTCATGTGGAGCAAGGCAGAGACCAGGCCGGGACACACACATTTGTTATGTCTCAAACGAAGCCCCTTGGGATGCACTTACCTGTTTCCCGCCACGTCTAAAACATGCAGTTCTGTGGCCTGCGACACCTCTGCAGGTATTCGAGTCAGTCTGTTGTCACGCATGGAGAACACAGTTAGGCTGCAACACCCGCCGATCTACAGTGGGAGAGAAAACACAGCTTTGTTCCCCACTGAGGGAACAGGGAAGAGGCAGACAGCCATTCTGTTTACCAAACAGCATAATAATGACAACATATACCACTTGATTTCACGTCTCACAGTCATACAAAATGCCAAACATACATTAACTTGAGAAGATACGTGAGGCCACTCAAGAATGTCATTCTGGAAGAGAAGTGGTATTCCCCTGCTGTCACCCATCTGACTGCTGTGCTCCCCAAGCCACACAAGCCCAGACAGACCAAACCTGCCGGCGCAGGAGCTCAGCCATCAGAGACGGCTGACACTACGCCCAGTTCGATTCCTGCACTTGGTTCTCGCTCCAGCTATAAAAAGGGAGGGGAGGGCTCTGCCTGGTACCATGCACCTTTCAATAGCTTTTGGTCAGTCACACAGCAACTCAGTATATGCACTTTCCCTTGATGAATGCAAAAGCAACAGTTTATTAGAAAACAAGAGTGAAGGTGTCAAATACATGTTAGTCTCCCCAGTCACAACCTGCTAATGCGTGTTAATCCACGTCAACACCATATCAACTTCTACTACCTTCTTTTAAAATATAATTTAAAGGTAACTGAACTTTGTACATCTGGTCTTCAAAGCAGAAGATGGCGAGAGTTCAATAATTCCCCCAAACACATCTGCTGGAACACATCTGTCAGGAAAGCCCAAGAAGCAAAAAGAAGAACAACTCGATCTCGGACACAGTGCGCACAACTCCACAGCACACAGCATTCCCTCATCCTGACCAGGAAGGCTCCAGAGGCGTCTAGGACCCTCTGATACACGGGTCAGGAGTGCTCTAGGCCTTGTGTATGGAAGAAGAGCAAGAGGCTCAAGTCCTCCGTGACATCTGCATGACTCCGGCCCTTTTCTAAAAACACACATGCTTCAACACAGACATGTGATACAATGAGAATCAGAATGAAACTGCTCCAGGCACAAGCTTTTCATTTCATCCCTTAGAATATGAACAATTCAGAAATCACACAGCTACTGTATTGAAGCATATAGTGGATAAAAAGGAGAGCACACAGTAAAAGCGGAGACTAGCACCTGTCCACAGCTACCTCTCCAGAGCTCCCCGGCATGCACAGGCCTAGGACGGCCTTTCTTCTCAGTGCTCACATGCCAGTCAAACTGGTTTACTCACTCTACTGTAAAATATGCCTTCTGCGGCTTTATCTCACCTTTCCTATTTCTGCCTTTTAAAATCATGCTGGTCACCCAAATTAACCAACTGTCCTCTAATCCCTCTGTAAAGCCTTCCTAGAACTGTCTGTGATAAACTGGCCTATATAATAAATCTGTCTACATTATAGGTCTCTGTGATAAACTGTACTCTATATTTCCTTCCTTATTATGGTCCAACACTCTGAACGATAAAAAGTCTCTTCAAGAATCTTAAGAATCTTAAATACAACAGAGGCCCATCAGCTGCATTGGACATGGATGGAAGTGAACTAAGCAACTCAAGGCAGCGATGGGAGGGAGGAATGAGAGGGAAGGAGGGAACAGCGGACACTAAGCAGAAGGAAGGAACTGTACATATCACCTGATGTGGAAGAAAAGTTGTAGTGTCAGTTTGTAGAGTTCATAAGCATTTGCGACCATGGTAATGACAGCGCTCCTTGTGAAGGTGAACCTGTGTTGGTGGCTTTGGCTAAGTAGCACTATCCCACAGCACTGTGGAATCGCTTAATCTCAATAAAGGAAAAACCATCTTGAGAGCTTGTTTGGAGGTTCTAGCAGGGGAGCGCAGCTACTCGTATACCCTTGACCGAAGACCGGTCCTCCTCTATCGGGGATGGTCGTCCTCTTGGACCGAGCGCGCAGCTTCGGGAGGGACGCACATGGAGCAGTGAGGGAGGAAGGGGACACCCGCCTAGCCAGCCAGATCAGCCGAATCAACCCTGGCGATCAATGGGGTGACACATGTCGCAGCCAGATCGGCCTCACATCCAGGAAAAAACATCTTAAAAACCTTGATTGCATGTATTTGTGCATGTCTGTCCAGTCCAGCCAGGGTCCTGACCAGCGTCTGCTGCCCACCCTGCCTACAGCCATGTGTGGCCAGACACCGGCCAAGTTCTCATTAGCTAACCGTATACACTCTGTTTATGTGCTTGCTCCAAAGTCCTGTCTGCCAACACAGCAATGAAGACAAGGTAGTTCTCCATTAGGTTTCTCAAACGAGGAGCACTAATACCAGCCTCGGTCAGACAGAGCGTCCATGTCCTTGAGGAAGGAAATCACCAAAACCTCGACCCTCCTAAGGACTGTCAGCCAGAACTTTCTTGCAACTCAGCTTGTCATGACAAAGCTCGCTGTTAGGAGGGATTGGAGAAGCTTCCTCACCCGCCCAGCAGAGGGGCCTGGGATGAGGATCCGGGACGCCCCGCATGGGCCTGCACGCGTCAGCACCCAGCGAAGGTGCAGACTCCTCCACGAGGCTCCCCACCCATGAGACCCCAAAGGACGCAAGGCACCATCACGACCAGCCCGGGAGCCACGGGCTGAGTTGTACTGACCCCACTGTCCCTCGCTGTCCCCTGAGTGGTGCACAGCTGCTACACTGTGCGCACTGTATGGATATCCATTTTCAACTTGTGTTCTTGAATAGCAAACAAAAATTCACAGTGAGTCAGAAGGGGTTCTAAAAGTTCAAAACAAGTTAATATTCCTTAAATACCCGGAGGGACAGTGCGAGTTCACGGGAGTGAGAGATCTGTCTGCTGTGCTTAGGGTCCCCAGTCCTTCTCCTCCCTCTCGCGTCTCCGCTCCTGTGGGAAGCCACGCAGCTGTGGGCCCCTGGCTGTCAAAGCCAGTGGTGACCTCCTGACCTCTACTGTCCATGTGTGGAGCATGCGCTGGGGATGGACAGGGGATGCCTTGTCACTCAGAGCACAGGCTGTCCCAGGCAAATGCACAAACACAGCTTCCTTCCAGCTCCGCCACATGAAGGATGGCACAAAATTCTGGCTTTTAAAAAAGTTATTAAGTCATCAGAAGCCTAACTGCAAAGGGGGAGTTCCCGTCAGCGTCTGAGGGCGCTGGGCGGGTGGCCTTGAGACCCCCACAGACTAGGGCTGGGGGGCGACTCCATCATCTGGGCTGTGGGGGTGGATTTGCTACTTTCACCAGACAGAGCCACAAGCAGATGTTACATCACACACACACAGCTGCGTGTGGACTGCAGACGCTCGCTCTCACAGCTACCCAACAAACGCGGCAGAGAGCATCTGTCCAGGAAGCAAAGCCCCGTCGGCGCCTGGGCACCCCGGGGACCCAGAGCCCGGCTGGTGCGGGCGCGGCTCCATTCCCCCCAGCTCACCTTCATGTCCCACTGTCGAAACTAGTGAGGGACTCCTACCAACTAGTGTCCTCACACCTTTGTGTTTTCTCTTCCAGGCTCACAGGGAGAATCTGAGGGCTCACCAGTGGCCTTCAGGGTAAAATGTCTTCAGCACTAGAAATTCTGGGAAGCAGAGTCACTGCTGAAATAACTTATTACCGGTTATGTTGGAAGCTGATATTTTTAAACTTCCCTTAAACCACATAATAGCACCTTCCCAGAATGCAAGGGGCTGGACCTGGATTCTCTGAGAATGACAGAATGTACTGAAAAATCCTTGCGTGGCTGCTTGGGGTCTGTGCTAAATCCCAGCGATACACGCTGCCCACTGCCCGGACAGGCCTGCAGACCACCACGGAGCCTGCGCCCTGGATGGCTCTGGGAGACAGACATGACTCAGTGCTTGCGGGCCACACAAAACCTGGAGGAGACACTCGGGTCTGGTGACACAAAGACAAAGCCTGTCAGGCAAGAGTGACGCAGCCTTGTCCGCTTACATCCCACTGCGCCCAACAGCTGCCCTCCATGGCAGAGATGTTCACTGCCTCTCAGCAGCCTCCTCCCTGTACTCGTAACACAAAATACAAGATGCAAAACCTGGACAGAGTACACGCTGAGCGTGCACTCTCCTGCAGGACTTCGCCAAGCCTGTGTCTCCACGGAAGATCATTCTAATGTTCCCAGCATCACACACACTTGGGGCATCGTGTGGCCTTGGTATTTATGGAGTCACTGGCCACTGACATTCAGTAACAGCTGTGGTATTTTTTTTCTTCTTTTATTCTTTTTCTGATTTTTATCAAGCAGCTTATGCTGACTGAAAATTTTTTTTAAAAAAAACATGGAAAAAATAGGAAAGCATGATGAAAAGCGACTACTGAACTCCTAACAGACATAATCGGTATTAACGTTTTCAGGTACAACTATGCAGCGTTACCGTCCTGCATCTGCGATTATACACACACACACTCAGGAAATGAGGGCCAACGGCCGTGACCTTCGACACAGACGCTACCAAGCACTTATTCTCACGTCATTACTTTTACCAATCACATTCGCATTTCCTTCTACAGATGATAACGGGTTATTTGACGAACCTCTGGGCCTGCTGCTGCTAGTTGGTCCTGCCTCCTCTTTGCTGTGGGATTTGGGGCAGCTCTCGGTTTCACAGTCGGATGGGTATCAGTAGTGATTTCCCCATACTCACAGAACAGTGGTGCAAATTAGGCAGGAACAGGCAGGAGAGCACTGGCCCAGTGCCTGGCCACGTTCTCTGTGTCTGGACATGCTCTGTATGGAGCCTCGACCAGATGAGCTGCTCCTGCACAAAATGTGACAAGTGTTCTTGTGCACTGTTCTCTGTTCTTAGTGTACAACCCTGGACGTTTTTCTACGAAAAGGGTGTGTTTTACGAGCTTTTAATAACATAACCACCCCCCACCACTACCACCCCGCCCCCACCTCCCTTTCAGAGAGGCCCTAATGACTTCAGTATGCACAGCATGCACAACCCTGGACACTCACCCACATCTGATTCTCTACTTAAAATCCTGGAAACCTGATAGGCTAAAATGCTTGTATTGTTTTGTAAATGCCAATGAGCTAGAGATAAGTTTCACATTAAGAGCTATTTCTACTTTTTTTCTTCTGTGTATCATATTTCTTTTCAGCGCTGTCTACCTTTCTATAGTGGGTGCATTCTTTCTCTGTGATGTGAAGGGATTTCTAACAGAGATGAAGAGAAATCTCCTTCATTTGAAAATGTAAATGTCTTCTTACTCCCTTGTTCTTATTTACTAGTAGATCACAAATCTATTTTTCAGGTTGTTACTCTTATGACTTATTTCCTCTTCCAAGTTTAGAAATGCTTTCTCTGTCTTGAAATATGAGGAAATACTATATATATATGTATATATTATTCTAATATTCTTAGGCGTTGTCTTATCTCCATTTTGGAACATACTAGAAACAAATCACAATTTAAAAGTGTAATAAAAGGGCAGAAAGATCATTACCAAATAAAGTCTATCACTGTTGATATATGTGAATATCTGAATAAGATTTAAAAGGAATTAATATCTACAGGTACCTTGGATTTTCTTTTTAAAAAGCCTTTATTTGCAAATTCTATCTTGTCTCTTCAGACAATTGTGAACAAGATTACTTTCATTTTGACTCAATGCAAAGAAAACGGACTCAATTTGGAGAACTCTGTGTATTTATTATACATGCGATATATATATATATATAGATAGATAGATAGATATATCACATGTCATATATTGTATGATCTCCAGCCAGTGTCTCTGTCCCAGTCTGCTCTGGGTGGGGTGGCCAATCAGTGCTCCGGCTCACCCTCTCCCATGGCCCCATGGGGCTCCCTCGCATCTTTTCACTTCCTGTCGTCCTGAGTCAATCACTGCCAATCTCTTCCCACCTTCAAAAATACGCGTGTCTAAGGAACTCTCTTTCTCAGAAACATATATACTTAACAACAGAATGAGAAACAAAAGACACAAATAAGTGGCTTGAAAATGCAGAAGCATGCCCTGTGCGGCAAACAGAGTGAGTGCTGGCTTTCCCGTGTAAGCTAGAGTCATGCCAACAAACTGCAACTCAGTGAGGATGGAAAAGTGCTCAGTAATGCCTTTCAGAACTCGGAGCAACCTAACAATGGCTTTACAGGAAGAGCGTCCTTCTGTGAGGGAATACCCTAAAAAACGTCTGGAAGACACACAACATAGAGTTCCAGGCCATGCAGTCATTAAATAGAAATCAGAACTAATGCCAATCTTTTACAATGAAGGAGACACAAAGCAGTCAGCCAATTGGAACCTTCATGCAATGAAATACAAGTTAGAAATACAAGTGTGGTCTGAACAATACTTACAAGATAACAAATTTACCTGACTTTTCTAAATTTCCAAGCAGCTAACAATTAAGAAAACAAAAGACATTCATTGATTTGCAAATGTTTACTACATATAACATCACAAAACACACACAGAATATATTACTGTGACCCAACAGTGCAAACATTTTCCCCTCAACCATTTGGGAAAAATAAACATGTTAATGTTGCTACAGACTAAGAAGCCATAAAACTGACAAAATACAATGACATCAAGGTAAAAAAAAAATAAAAAGCAAAATATGCAAAGAACTATATAGCACATCAAACCAATGGCAATTGATACAATTTGGGTTCTGGCATAAAGTGAATTGCTTGGCATTTTGATTTAGGTATCTCATCTTTCAACTTAACTGTCCCAAGAGAAAATAATAAACTTTCGAAAGAATCTAATCAGAAAAGTGCAGGAGTTGACCAAATAGAATCAGCTGTGCAGGCAGAGTTAGTGTGCATCTATGTACAGACACACATGTGTGTGCAAACAGGCACAAATGCACGTGTACACACACAGACCTGTCACATTGCTACATGGAGAGACACAACACAATGGTGCTACTAGGCCACAGAAACACAATGTGAGGTCAGGAGCACTTGGCAGTTTAGCTGCTAAGCCAAGGCTACCAGGGACAAGCACTGGAGCCAGTTCTGCTGGGCATCACATGTGACCCACAACAGAACTGGGAAAGGAACTCAGCAGCATTCCTATTCCCAGAGCTGTGTGAGTGGGGGGGGGGGGAGAGAGAGAGCAGGGCTGACGCTGGGTTAGAAAAGATCCCACTGCTGAAAACCCACCCACTCTCTACTTCATCAGGAAGCAGGAGGAAAAGGTGCAGCCTTCATTCCCTGTCATTTCTAAAGCCATGAAGCGAGTTCTGAGTCCACAGGAAATGGGCAGAACGTGATAGCTAAAATGCAAAGAAGTTAGACAGCTGTTGCAGGGTTTTACTTTTCACATCAGCAGAACTGTCGTAGTAAACTGAAACAAACACAGCAGGTACTAGGTACAACCCTCCTATCAGACAACACATGACTTATTTCTTAAAAATAAAAAGAAGACCGGGTGCCAATGGCTCACACCTATAATCCTAGCAAGTCAGGGGACTGAGATCTAAGGGATCTCAGTTCAAAGCCAACCTGGAGAGGAAAGTCTGTGAGCCTCTTATCTCCAATTAACCACCAGAAAACCAGAAGTAGCGCTGTGGTTCAAGTGGTAGAGCACTCACCTTGAGCTGAAGAGCTCAGGGATAGTGCTCAGTCCCAAGTTCAAGCCCCACAACCAACAAAAAAAAAAAAAGAAAGAAAAAGAAAAAGAGAGGACTCGTGTTGGGGTGGTAAGTTTCATAATGACTGTCTCGAATGTGTACCCATGGAAGAGAATGCAAAAGGGGTCCAGAAAAGCTGGGGTCGGGGTGAAACCAGGAATGAACATGTAGCATGTGTTGAAAATACACCTAAGCTCCATTAACTAAAGGTAGTTTGATCTCTTCTTCCTGAAGCAAGCTCCTGCCCTTTCTCCAGCTCACGAGTCAACAGTGTGACTGAGGCTCAGACTGAGTTACTGAGTTCTCTGTTCTGAGTGGCCAGGCCCAGCCCACTGGACTGGGGGTAGAAGGAGCCTGGTGTCATCTGCTGCTCGCTCTGTGAGCCAGGGCAGAGGCTGTAACATCCGTGTGTGCACGAGGAGGAAATCCTCCCAACCACCTAGGGCCGGTGAGTCAGCTCACTGAAAGCACCTAGTGCAGGGCACGGCACCGAGCAAGAAGAAATAAATCTTTCACTTCTGCATTGTGTGTGTGTGTGTGTGAGCCATTCTACAAGTATCTAAGCCATCTACAAGTGCCTTTCAGCAAGAGGAACATTAGTGCTCAGAGTATCAGCTGAGTTTTGCTTTATTGTTTAGGGAATGGAACCAAAATGTTTTGGTGAACAGAATCATTTTTGTTCCAGTTTGTCAGAGACAGACGAGTCATTCTTTGGAGCCAGGGCTCCTATTTAAGGATATATCAGGTTAAAAGTGGGCCAACCTATAACCAATACACTCTTGCCTCCCCTCGGGAAGAGCTGGCCAGCTCCCCCAGAAAAGACTGGGCACTGTGGGCGGAAAGCCCAAAGGAGGGAAGGAAGCACAACCGGCCAGGCCATTCACGAGATGGGGCCCAAGGGAACAGCGGCCTCAGCTCCGGCTGTTCAGACGAGATCACCCTGACATCAATACTGGAAGGGCCAACACAGAGAAGCACGAAGAAAACAGCCCCAGACCAGAGATCAGGTCAGACAGGAAATAGCTTCTTTAGGTGAGGACCCAGCAAAGAAGTCTCACCAAAGCTCAGCTGATGGGGGAGAGGGAAGCTAAACTTAGTTTTAGGCTCTATTACTTGGAAGGGGGTAGAGTAAGGTCAAGGGGAGAGGGATAGACGAATGAAGAGAAGAAGGAGAAAAGAATGCAGCCAAGAATCCAATGCACACCCCAGAAAATGAAGACAGCAAGGGGAGGGACGAGAATGCTGAAAGGAACACTGGTCAAGACACAGTGTGTTCACCAACTGCTTTGTTGAATGACAAAGGGAGGGAGGGAAGGGAGGGAGGGAGGGAGGAAGGAAGGAAGAAGGGAAGGAAGGAAGAAAGGAAGGAAGGAAGGAAATCATGCCTTGTCAGACCCTTTTCCAATCAAGCTCTTCTAGTTCCCAGTGGAAAGCAAGCCTCTTCACCAAGCTTTCTAGAACCTCCTTTGACCTAGTGTGGGCTCCCTCCTCACAGTTAACACCGCCATCACCTGTGACAAAATTCAAGTGCTCATCTGATACATCCACACAGATACTTTCCACAATGGAAGGTGATTGTCTCTGTGCTCCTGCTGGAGTGCTGACAAGAAAACTAAACATCCTGGGAGCTGTAGCTTGCTGTGGCTCCAACCGGCCTTCCTCTCTACCAAGTCTCATCTCAGTCAGGAAGGAGTGGAAATCTCTGCCCAGAAGCATAGCTCCATGGAGATTCACTGTTATAATGACTATGGGACCAGATTTAACTTCACACCAAATTCAACAATCAAACCCAAGGTCACCCACTACCCCTGCTTAAACTCCCAAATTATCCACTTATGCCAATGAATCTCCATTTTATGTCAAGTCTAAGTGTCAACCTATTTCTTCATTTAAAATTTAATCAATTCACTTTTTCAAACTCTTCTTCATACTACTGATAATCACTCTTGGATAAAAGTTTTTCCAAGCTGCTTTATAAGCATTCCTTCACAAAGTGCCACATATGGCTTTAAACATTAAAAAGCATGTTGATCCTTTAGCTGATGTTATCTCTTCTTCATAATTACTATCACATTAATACTCTAGCACATACCTCTTTTGGTAAAGACACTAATTTATTTCTGTCCGCATTCAAGTTGCTCAGCTTCTTAAGTTTTCCAATACTTTTAGGTAAGGTCTGAAAAAAAAATAGCATTTTTATTATTGATTGACCACGTATTTCTAACAACTGAAAAAGTCCTATTTGCATGGACTATCATGCAAAAGAAATAAGGACATTTTCCTGAATATAAGATGCTCATAATCATCGCTTGGGGAAGAGTCAAATGAAATATGTTGAATTTTTGTTGATATATTTCAAAGAAATAAAATCAAAGACAAACAGAGCAACGCCTAGCAGAGAGGAGAGGAATGCTCTTCAGCACAACCAATGTTGCCAGGGGTGAGTATTACTGTTATAATTGTTATAATAACTATCTGGGGGACAGGAAGAGTTGGTAACTGGGATCGCACCTGCAGAAGTTGGCATGCTGCTGAGAGAGCTTGGGGAAAGACGAGGCTAGACTCCCCCAGCCCCAAGCCTCGCTCCTCCCTTGCAGTCTGTCTTTGCTCTTTTCATCGGAGGCCTGCTCTCCTGGCAGTGACAGGAGGCCCGGGCCAAGTGTGCAGCCCTGGGGATGCCCCGCCCAGCTCTGGGATGGAATCAGCAGCAGTCTTGGCAAACATTTATCAGATACCATTCTCTGGCTCTCCCATGAAGAGCACTCCTCAGTCCCAAGCTGCCAGGGCCTGTCCTGACAATCCACCATGTCTCTGCTCTTCCTACTTGGTTCCAAGAGTCCCTGAACAATGTCCCTTGCGGGCTCTGTGACAGCGCCATCAACAGGTCAGTAAGTGACTCTCACCCCCCCACTGGGACCCGAGGCATCGGCTCAGCGCCTAGACCCCAAGCCCTGCACTAGGAGCCCTCCCAGGCGGAGCCTAGGTGCTGCTTTGTCGATCTCGGTGCCACCTGGGGCATTCCAGGCTCCCTTGGAGGTGAGACTTGAGGACATTTCCCCCTGGGTCCACTTGAGCTGCCAGTCATCAGGATCTGCCCTAACACATCCTCATGGTAATGTCAAACCACACTCACCAGGAGACGATTTTCCGTAAGAACTAACTCGGTGAGACTTTCACAGTCCCCAACTGCTTCCGGCAACTGGGCAAGTCTGTTCTGATCCACCTTCAGAACTGACAGCTTCTTTAGTTTTCCTGCAGAAGCATTATTTAAACTCATGAGTTAAAACTGTTTTCCTGATCATCACTTGGTATTTCCTATGGCTGTTCTTTTTTGTCTTAAACAGTTACTGACTTTTTTTCCTCTCAGCCAGCTTTTCATATTATGAAATTGCTGCACTCACTAAATCACTAGAGGTTGAGAGTTAGACTAATTTGTTCAGAACATCAAAAACAGTAATTAGAAACAAATCATTTTAAATGCCATTACCTAAAAATATCGTATCGGAGCCAGAAAATTTAAAGAACACACAGCAGGCTTTTGATGCATCTTAAACATGAATCGTTGTGGGCGCTGAAGGGACCTTCATTTTACCCCAGGAGTCAACCTAACTAAAATTAGTAAGGTGTAGATTATGTAAACTACCTATGAATGCCACTGGCTCCAGGAAGCGTTGCTATATGCACAGAATAAAGCACACCCCTGAGAAGCCATGTTAAGGCAGAGCCAGCCTCATTCTGAGAGGGAAGATGCTCACAAGCTCTGCATACAGGCTATGGGAAAGAGGAATGAGTCTAACTGCAGGCTCCACTGACAGAACTTCCCAAGTCATCCAGACTCTAGTTGCCAAGTCAAATGCCCTTCACAATGACCTTTACCTTCCTCATCAAACCAGAATACAACTGCTTCACAAGCAGAGGAGAAAGCCACTAGAAGGGTATGGCTGAAAGGAATACCCTGCCAGTATGCAGACACAGAGCAAGACCGGAAAACAGATTTTTTTTGGTCAGTCGTGGCACTGAACTTTGGCCCTGGGTGCTGTCCCTCAGCTCTTCAGCTCAAAGTGCCACTTCCAGCTTTTTCTGCTTATGTGGTGCTGAGGAATCAAACGCAGGGCCTCATGCATGCAAGGCAAGCACGCTACCACTGAGCCACCTTCCCAGCCGGAAAACAGATTCTTAAGCTCCTTTACTTAGCATCATCAATATCCTGCTAATGCGGTCCCTGGGGAGGGGGGGTGTTGCACCTGCCCACAGTGCCAGTGGACGGAGCATCCTCCAGTGCTTGTTAGGGTGCCATGGCGCCCAATAGAGGACCCTTAACTATAACTCCCACAAGAAGACGGTGGCCTCTCCCGGCTCCTAGCAATCATGTACTGATTTCTTCTCTAAGACGCCCCAAGTAATTTGTAACAAGAAACTTTGCTTGTTAACATTCTTAAGTGAAATGAGATTCATAAGCTTTCATTGCACCCATCCGAACTAAAGATGCAAGAAAGATGCCTCTATAGCGAGCCCTCAGGGGCCTGGCCAGCCCACCGCCTCAGGCTGCTACTGCTTCCCTTCCTGAGCAGCAAAACCTGGGTTTGGGTTTACACCATCACCAGATGCCGTGCACGAATCTCCTTAAACATTTCTACCCAGTCAAAACCCCCATCAGTTTTCTAGCCGGCTTTGACTAAAACACGGTGTCTATATTCCTATGAAAGTGCTGTTAGCACTTTCCATCTTGACCGAACAGCAGGGACAAAGTGGTCCTGTCACATAGCTTCTCCAGTTACTTCTTCCTTTGATGATTTGCAGTAAAAATGTTAGAGAGCAACCCAATGACAACTAGTCTATGGCTGCACAGAGCTTCTTATAACTTCTAAGTGGCTTTGCTCTAGTGGAGCTAACAGCTCACTCCTGTTATACCTTCTCTATGTTGCATTTCTCACACAGGGCTGTTCCTTTACAGTAAAGAAAATGTTTGGCTTGTAAGCCAAACAGCACAGTGGTTAAAAAATTCCCAATTTCCTAGAAAAGGCTCAACTCAATTACACCATCTCTCCCTTTGAGAGATCTTCCCTCTGCCACGCAGTGAGGTCCAAGCTACTGTCTCATAACTGTTTAAGACGCTGAATTAGAAACGTCCTGGTGATTGTCTATATGCCTTAAAACTTATTCTATGATTTGGCTGAACTCTAGTGAAACCACTGAGATAAGACCTTGATAAAGTAAATAATGAGTCAACATTTGTGCTATCAAACCAAGATGACAGTAATACTTGCCAGTACTTAAATCTATTATACGCATGGCTTTCCTTCTTTAAAGACAAGCAATGGAGCCACATTCCCAGCACCTGACAGGAGTCCACACAGCATCAGAGCGAGGTCTTACTGCCCCAGATGATCCTCACCAAGATGGCCTCATTACAAGATGATGTCATCAAGATGACCTCAACAGAAGATGACATCATCACAAGATGACATCATCAAGATGGCCTCATCACATAATGGGCTCACAAGATGATCTCACCCAGATGGCCTCAATACAAGATGACATCATCACAAGATAACCTCATCACAAGACCACATCATCAAGACGGCCTGAGGTGGTACCTTAGCAGCAGTGCTTTCAACACTCACCAATGCCATCTGGAATTATCTCCAGTAAATTCTGAGAAATTACTAAATCGGTTAAAGAAGTTAGGCCGCTGATTTCTTCAGGAAGTCTTTCCAACCTGTTCTCAGAGACATCTAAGCACAGCAGGTTCTTCAGGTTTCCTATTTCCTGTATCAAAAGCATAGAGAAACTCATGCTCAAACCTGTCACAGGACAGGAATTTGTTACAATGAGGTCCTGAAGTTGTGAGAATGTTTCTTTAGTGTATACTCAAGTATGAAGGCAGCATAGATTTCTGGACCCTCTTTCAATGAAAATGAGAAGTTGTAGACACCACAAACAGGGAGCTCTGCCTCCCACAGGCATGCCATCATTCTCACTTAACAGATGAAGATTAGGAGCCAAGAGAGTGGCGGGGAGATCCAGTCCAATTCTCTGTGTTTGGAGTTCATCACTAATGAGCAGTCTGCACTGAGAGGCAAGCAGCTAACACGGCAGGCCCTGAGATTTTCTCTGCTAAGAAACTCTACTTTCTCCTTCCTTCCATCACAAGTAGTGCCTGTTAACCCAGGCACCAAACCCCTGCTCCTCCACAAAATGAGCACACACAGACCTGTGGACAGCTTCACCATCTGCAAGACAGAAAAGCTCGCCACTTTAATGAAACAGCCCATCCAGGACTGGCAAACTCTCTGTTTAACTTACCTTTCCTCCACTCCCCAAATACACGTTTTCCGCCATCCCTACTTCCTTCAATTCCTACTCTCCTTACCCTCTGACCACTCCCAGCGCTGCACTGGACACACGGACTAGCTTGAGGATGGTGTGTTGTGCTTTCCAATTTTTCTGGGGAAGCATATAATTACACAAGTTCTATGTGCTTTTTCAATCACGGATTGAAGCTTCTGAGATGCTGCTCTAAATACCGCTGGTGGATGTATTGTGGGCAACATAGAGAAACTCAGTTACCTGAGGTAAATCTGACAGCTGGTTCCCATCCAGCCAGAGGTCCTTCAGATGGAAGAGAGCTCCGATTGATTCTGGCTAAAACAAAAAGCAGTAATGTCATGGTAGCAAAGATCCAAGTCTGAGGCTTCCACTAACAAAGAAGGAATTATAAAGTGTCAAATAATAATTGGGGTAATCCTAGCTACTCCTGAGACAAAAATCAGGAAGATTACAGCTCAAGGCAAGCATGGGGAACAAAAATTGAGACCCAATCTCAGTAAGAAGCCAGTGCGATGGCTTACAGCCAACTGCACAGTCCTAGCTATGCAAAGCCCATGGGTAGAAGTGCAGCCAAGGTCAATCCTGGGCAAAACACAAAACTAAAGAAAAAGAGGGCTGGGACACAGCTCCCATGGTAGAGCCTACCTAACAAGCACCAGGCTCAGAGTTCAAGCCCAGAATGCTGACATTAATCATGAGAGCTGGGGCTTCTGGTGGGCAGCTGTTGTTTTTCTCTAATATCAACCTATCCTTAAACACACCAATCATTTCCACTCATGCCTCAAAACTTTAGTCCTGACCCTCCCACACCGAGTCTCAGTTCATAGCAGTGTGAACCGAGCATCCTCTCCAAGGTTCCCAGGTCTGTGGAGACACAACTCCACATACACTCCTCTTCAACATGCCTGTGATGACACACACTTACCAAGTTATAGATCTCATTATTTCCTAGATCAAGCTCTTCTAGTCGCCGCAGCTGGGTAAGGGAGCTATTTAAAAGAAACAACAACATTTAGTGAAAACATAAACATACAGAGCAACGTAAGTTCCTTACTTGGACTATTACTCCAAAAATAGCACCCATCTAGATTTCACAATGGTAAGAGTATGACAAGGGGGCAGCTGCTCTCAAGGTGGGTGGCAACAGACAAGATTTTTTTTTCTTTACCATAATGCCATAGTCCTTTCAAAAATAGTTAAATTCATTACTATTCCCCAGAGACTCACTCGGGAAGATAGGTAAGAAGATTCTCTCTCAGTTCCAGTGAAGCCAGGTTGTAAAGACTAGAAACAGAAAGAGAGGAATGTCAGGGAAATCCCCAGATTCGTCCTTCTGCTCCCCCACCACCCACAATCAGTAAGAAACACAGCTCAGCCGCACCCCACGTGACTTCCCAGGGCAACAGTGTGTCATCGCCACCGGCCCCCACTAAACCCACAAGTCTAACCCGAAGATGCGAATGAGATGAATTAATGACACAGGTCATGCCCACAGAGCACCCCACTTGAGGCCTTGGCCCGCCTGACGTGGAAATAACTCGCTAGCCACTAAAGACAGCCTCTCCTCGGCCCAAGACCAAAGGCCAGCCTCCCAGCCTCAGCGGCTGACGCAGACAGCACGGCCTTCCGTGGCGAGGGGCTGAGGCCACCGACCAGGCCCACTCCACAGAGCAGTAGGCGTCAGGCTCGTGGGAGCTGACGCGAGGGGCGGTGACGGTGAACACTGACCTCACCCAGCCCAGGATCTGCTGTCCTATCCTCACCTCACCCCGGCAGCAGATTCCTGCCCTCGTGCGTAGCCCAGTATTGGAGCTGAGCGCAGAGAGACAGATGTTCTTTCCAGACCCCGAGTATGTGGGTCAGCTCTGATGGGCAGAGGCCACGCGGCAGCCGCTGAAGCCCTCACGCACCAGCATGTCAGCACAGCACCACACACAGGTTCCGAAAACAAGTGACACGTCTGCCACCTCTGAAGACCTCGGCTCCACACCAAGCTCAAGCTCCTGCTTGCTAATATAGTGCAGAAATATTCAAGGTTCTATTTCTGAGCTGGTAGGAGGCAGATATTACCCCAATACTCTAATCCACCTTAATCCTCCACCCTCCCTCATTTTATCAAAAAAGCCAGAAACACCGGAACTAAAAAGCTGATTTTCTAACACCACTGAGTGGTTTGGTTGTCAGCACAGCTTGCCCGGGTGAATACTGAACCACCAGGCAGGCCCTCCCTCCCGGCCCGGCTCTCCAGACAGCGCGACTAACAGTGGATGCCACGTGGGACCAGACGTTGGTGCGGAAGGAAATGTCTCCTTTTGCGGTCTTCCAAAATACAGCAGTGGGGCGGTGTCTGTGCTCACTGAGACTCTCTCCTCAACCCAACACCTTTGGGCCTCTTCAAGGGTCTCAGGACAGGATACTGGCATGCAGGAGCGGACGTCAGAGCTCAGAGCTTCCCTCACAGGCCAGGAGGGAGGAGGAGCCCGGGGCTCGGCATGCATGTACCCTTCACCCCAGCTACTGCCTAGCACTGCAGAGACTACACCCCACAAAGTGCCGTTAAATATCAGACACAAAATGCAGCGTGTGAATTATTCGTCTTTAACAGTCCTGCTTCTAACATGACATCATCAACTTTCTAGACAACAGAATTTTTATAACTGCTTTGTCAGAACTGACTGTGGATAAGGAAAGGAAGGAGCAGACAGGGCGCTGGAGCAAGACCTCAGCATTCACCAAGACGCCTGCAGCTTCTCCACTGCGGCTGCCTCCTCTCACTCTGGAGAAGGGAAGTCAGATTTATAGACTGGCCACACACACACACACACACACACACACACCAGCTTCTCTGCTCTCCTCAATTAACAGATGTCTGTCTCATCTCTTAAGCCACACACACCTCCATATTTTAAACAGTTGCACAGCACATCATTGACTATTGACCTTATCACGGCAGGCAGAATGCAGGCCGCCTGTTTTTAGGAACCCTCTGTTCCAAATGTCCTCCCGGAAGCCCTGCCCTGGAAAGGTGTGTGTCTGTGGTATGGGTTTCAAACTTAGAACCTCCCACACGCTGAGCTGCCCCTACTGCTGAGCTATAGAAAACCCAAAACTAGAAAACAAACAAAACAAACTCTTTGTTTTTGTTCTCTGAAACAATAAACAGGTTCTAGTAATTGCAAGCTCAAGAACTAAGCACTTCACGGGACAGCAGTGTGTGAAAGGAATCTCCTCTTAGGCCGCAATCCAGGACAGGACAGGATGGGGTGGGCAGCAGGCGGGCCTCGTGAGAAGGCCACGGGGCTCATCTGTTCAAGCCCATGGAGGCTGAGAACACCATTCTCAAGGGCACCCCAGCTCACCAGAGCCCCTAAGGAGCTCACATGTCCTACCTCTACCAGCAAAGCTCCACCAGTAATGAGTTATTGATAACCACTCAGTGCCCGTGGCTGCTCTGAGCACTGAGCTAATTCACCCTCCACTCCCTCTCTCCTCCAAGCACATTAGGTTTGGAGGAGGAAACTTCATTAAGCAAGAAATAGAGACATTTAGACTAACTTCTAGCATATGGTACCAATTTCTTTAACAACAAAGAGTAGGAACTTTCACAGACAAGGACAAAGTTCCCAGAAGGACCCCAGGCCTCCCCAAGCCTCCGGGTGATCCTCTGCTCCCCTAGAGATTTGTCACCCCAACCTTCACACCCAGAGCACCGAAAACACTGGAAACACTCTGGCTACGTGCTGACCTGCCTGTCTGCCCTGTGAAAGTATGCCTATGACCTTGACAGTACTCACAAGGTCACACAACAGTGTCTTCTTATGAAAGAAAAAACATAGGCAAGTTAGATTTCATTAAAATATAAGCCTTTGTGCATGAGAGGACACTATCAGGAAAGTGAGGGGAGCCGGTGAGGCAGCCCAGGCCTGCAATCCTGGCTCCTGGAGTGGGAATGGGGCAAGGGATCACAGTTGGAGAGATGGAGTCTTGAGAACTATGTCTGGCTGGCCTGGATTGTGAATCCCCCGCCCCCTGCTCCCATCTCTACCTCTTCCCCTCCTGAGAGTTATAATCCTAAGTCTTAGCAAATCTACTGGCGTAAAAATGTCAGTGCACTTCACATAAAAACATGGACTTGCCAGTTGAAACAGGGTCACGGGAAAGAAAGGAGGGGGAAAGGTGCTGGTTTACAACTCCTGTGGACCTTTCAGAACAGACATGTCAGGTCACTGGGTTCAGTCATGCAAGGCGGTTCTCAAACAGCAGATTTCTGGTTTGTCTTAGGACTTCTGCAAGACACACGCAACAGCAGGGAAACCTCTAAGATGCCAGGAGCACTCTACCAGGTAAGGCCGCTGGGCTGGGTGCTGATCTAAGTGCTTCTGCCTGAGCCTTGCTTGACTAGACCCGCTCCCTCCATGCTGGCGAAGGGGGAGGGGTCTGCTAAGAGGGCTCCATCTGTGTGGTGGTGGAAGCTCCACAGTCTTCCTCACTCACACGTGCTTCCCCTTCCTTTCTTCCCCTTATCTTTCCCACCATGGCTACATCCCCCTGCCCTGCAAGCTAGCACCACAGAAATTCACCCACCTGCTCCACACCACCCACCCATCCACCCCTCTCCCAGCTCATCTGTGCTCTCCAAACACTGGCCACTTGTGTGCTCAGGAGCTACTGTCAGACCCAACAGATGTTTAGCACACTTCCTGTGCGTTTTCAGTGGGGACCTCCTTGCTCTTCTGCTCAGGATTAAAATGACTGAGTGGTCATTCCCAACAGTATTTGCTACTAGAAAGTAAACTGGCTGCTTTGCTTCAGTTTGCTACTTCTTCAGAATGCATCAATGTGAAGAAAGCTTGCAAACAAATTATGTTTATTACTAGTCCCATGTAGCAGCATCTATATAATCATTAAAACCTGGGGATAACTAAAGGTAGCACTGATGGATGGACAGATGGTCTCCTACGTCAATGGTAAGAACATGGAAGGAAAGCTCCACATGGAACTGATGGTACGCATGTACTGGACATAAAAAAATAAAACTTACTTGCCGATATTTTCAGGCAGAGACTGCAGGGAGATGTCATTTACAGAAAGACACGTTAAGTTCTGTAACTCAGGAAAGCTTTCTGGCAACCTAGAACAAAAGAGCTTGTTAACTGAAGTAGCAGTGTATACAGAACACAAAAACAATTCTAATGTGCTCGCTGAAATAACACCCTAAAATTGCACCCTGTAATGACATACTTGCCTTGCCCTTTTACATTATCAACACTCTCAAGGAGGGGCCGAAGAGTCCACCTAGCTACTGGAGAAACAGCACATGATACACAGAGGACAGTGCAGAATTAATCATAAGGAGGATAAATACACAAGTTCTCAGAATGAAGAACAGGTGTCACAAAGCCCTAGGAAGGAAAACCCCCACTGCTGTGCAGCCGAAGTTTCAAGCACCATGAAAAGAAAGAAAAAAACCTGACCAGTCCCTGGGATTATGAAACGCAGGACAGCTGCTCACTCCTTTCTTTTCTTGTTGCTTCTAAGGATTACTTAGAACAGATGAGCCGACAGCCAACTGCTACTTTGTTTCTTTTATTCAAGTTGTCACTCCCTATATATAATTGAACATTTCATGACATTCTACACAAAGGTACTTTTAATATGTGCCTGAAGCCAAAAAGAACAGTAAGGCTTCAAAGTAACGTTATTTAATGTTTACAAAGAAATGTTTCCTATGGTTACCAGGATTTGTGAGATGAGAGGAATGGTGGCTGAAGGTGAAAAGATGCCACTGCATCTACAATGGGATTTAGTTTAGACCCACAAATCTAGTACAGCCAACAAGGAAAGACCTCTGGCTTTGATGGGGAGTCCCAAGAAACCCTGGAAATGTACCCGCTGGACCAGAACGGCCACGGCTCCCAGGGCTGTGCCTGCGTTCACACATGGGCATCATTCACTTACCCTGACAACACAGCCTTCAGAAGACGCCAGACGAGGCTAGGAGGCCTACGGAGGCTCCTGAGTGCTGTCAGCCAGGCCAGACGGCAGGCTATGAAACCCCAGAAGCAGCAAAATCCCCCCAACCATCGCAAAAGTAAGGAAACAGCAGTGCCGGCAAGGTTTTGTTTTCTTAAGGAGAGTTAGAGACAAGTTGAGATTAAAGATACGTTTCATTATTGGAAAAAATAAGTCTAATAAGACTTCTCTTCAGATAATTATGCTGTAAGCTCAGCTCTGACCCAACAGACGAGAAGGCTCAACTGGAGGTTTATAAACTACACTATTCATACTGCTCCTCCCACCCCCAACACCTCTTTTCAGAGTTTCTATCAATACAATAGTGTGACTCTCCTTGTCCAGTATTTTTAATACATAGCTGGGAAAAGCCAGTGGTCTAGCAGGGTGCCTCCCATGTGACAAATGTGGCTGGAAAAAGAGACCCGTCTAACTAGAAACAGGAGTGAAGCAGCAGCATCACCTTGTCAGTGGGTTTCCGCTGAAGTCCGCAACCTGCAGGGCTTTACAGAATGAGATGCTTTCGGGAATTTCAGGAATATCTGAAAGAGTAAAGGATATACACCACTGTTAACATCCTTATTATTTATGACAGACCACAGTCACAATCCCATGTGCCACCAATTATGAGAACACTTGTTCTTGCTTTCCTAGAGGAAGACACATCTTTACAGAAGAACATTCAAGATATACATCATAAGGCATGACCACCACCGTCTGAAATGCCACTGGCCATACTTAGATCTCACTTCCACTGAATTCTCTTCACACTTTTTTTAGTTTTTTCCTTATGCTTTTTGATGGCTGGTAAGTACAAGCATTCTAAAGAAGAGTACTGTTAAGCTGTGAGTTTTCTTCTGATTTTAAACCTAAGAATTTGTAAAGTATAAAAAGGCTAAAGAAGAAAATAGAAACCACCAGACTACCCAGAGATAATGTGTTATTTTGAAGTATTTTTAATATACACACACTGTATATGTACATATAGACGATATGTTTCAAAATACTAGGTTCCTGACATTTTTTCAATGTATATTTAATCCACAAACTTTTTACCCATCTTTTTTCTAAATAGTTTGTCATCTTAATGGCAAAAGAGTACCTTGCGTGGATTTTCAGACTGCATTTATTTAATCCCCTATTGTTGAACATTTAGATTGATTCCAAGTTCTTGATGTTATATTTATGCCAATTTCTGATTGTTTCCTTGAACTAAGTTCCCAGAAGTGGAATTACTGTATGGAACATGTTAGCATCGCTGGAGCGTTTTGATAAGTAGAGGCAGGCAAGTTGTACCTACTATACCTCCATTGGCCCAAACAAAGGGCCACAGTCAACATCTCTCCTCTCTTCTTCTTTTTTCATTTTTAAAAGTGTCGATCTGTTGCTAAATTACTTCAGCTACCTTTTGTTTAACATTCCTTTTATTACTAATAATGGAGAATGTATTTTCTGGATATTACTGGCCATATTTGTGATTTTAAATTAGTTAGGACTGTGAGTGTGAATGCCTCTTTCTCTTGGCACAAAGTCAAAGATGATAGCTGTGGGGTCTTAAAAGGTTACGTCACAGCATCTAACTTCCAGCGCACTGTATTTTGGATGTATCAGCACGAAGACATCTAAAGTAAGGACAGTTCTTCTCATTTCCTTTATTCCTCCAGTTTGGCAAGCATTGTAAGAGCCAAGGTACACTCAGTGTTCATAACGGGAGGGCTCCCGGGAGAAGGGAGAGGGGAAACAGACACCTGCTCCAGCAGCCGCAAAGCAGACGATGCTACATGAAAACGTGGGGTTTAAAAAACCTAAAATACTTGAATGTGTGGTAACATTTTTCTCATACAAGTCTCTTCTTTGCACGGCTACCTTTATCACATGATGTACTAATGGATGCAGAGACAGATGGACAGATACCATGTGTTCTATAGTTGAGTCCAGCATGGGTTTTTGAAAACCCACTAACACGGTGGGCCCTACGGTTCACTCACAGCTGTGGCTTCTTTTGTCCACGTTGCCTTATTCATTCCACTCAAAAACATCATCCCAGATCACCCTGAGTTTTAGGGACAAGTGCTGACTGGCCCATCCCCCCAGGCCCGACTCCCGGGTCGGCTCTCCACGTGGAACACGGCACCCCCCAGGCCTGACTCCTGGGGTCGGCTCTCCACGTGGAACACGGCACCCCCCAGGCCTGACTCCCGTGTCAGCTCTCCACATGAACACGGCACCCCCCAGGCCTGACTTCCGTGTCAGCTCTCCACGTGGAACACGGCACCCTCCGCCCCAGGCCTGACTCCCGTGTCAGCTCTCCACGTGGAACACGGCACCCTCCAGGCCTGACTCCTGGGGTCGGCTCTCCACGTGGAACACGGCACCCCCCACCCCAGGCCTGACTCCCGTGTCAGCTCTCCACGTGGAACACGGCACCCTCCAGGCCTGACTCCTGGGGTCGGCTCTCCACGTGGAACACGGCACCTTTCCAGATCCGACTCTGTGTGGAGTCTCCACACGGAACACAGCACTGCCACTCACAACTAGACAACCACAGACAGGAGACCCAAACTTGACCTCTAAATTCAGAGGCAAATGACCTCACGTAAGACCTAGAACTTGAAAATGATTCCATTTTAATTATATTTGGGTTCCATGTACGGAAGAAGCTTCTCCGGGTGGCACCTGTCCCCAGCGCCTTCTCTTACACCATCTACGCCCTTCCATGCTATCAGCAGGCAACGCAAAACACAAGACAGAGCCCACCCTCTCCCCACCCACCCTGTCGCCTCCTATGAGAGAACCGAGGCCACAGACGGCTGTGACTGTCACACTGAGCAGCTTCCGATGGCTGGATGTGTGCTCTGGTGTGGCCCAGCCAGTGCTGGCAGGCACTCAAGCTCCAGGGGCTGCACCCGGGGCACAGGTGTGCACACTCACTCACTGCCTTCAGCCACACCCAGGGCACAGGTGTGCACACTCACTGCCTTCAGCCACACCCGGGGCACAGTGTGCAGTCACTGCCTCCAGCTACAGCGACATTGCAGAGTTTTAGCCTGACACTTTAGATGAGCATCAGCCATCCCTGCCAGCTGCCTATTTTGGTCTAGAGAAGTTCCCATGGGAATTAGTCACCTGTCATTCAAGTGGTAAGGTAGAGGCACTGGGGGATTTGCAGGGACAGACTAGTCAGGTAAAGTAACAGGTTTATCTGAGGGACAAAAAGACAAAACAAAAACCGAAACACTCTTTGCTCTAAGCCCACCTGACTACTAAACGCCATGTAGGAAGGTCTGCCACACCCCAGGGCCTGTTAAGCGTCAGGTTTGTGTCTTAGTGCACCGCCTCCAATCCCTGCAACAAATCCTGAGATGGAGAGTAGCAGCCCTCCTGACAAATGCAGAGCAGGCTGAAATCGTCAGACTGTCCGCGCTCACCCTGCTGACAGTGGACGCACACGCACAGAGCTCGGCAGCCGGCCTGCAGAGAGGATGGCAGAGCACCTGAAGATCATCTCCAGGTGGGCTGTGGAACCACACGGACCAGAGGGGAGTAGAGAGTGAAGAGGGAAAACCCCAGGCAGTTTTCTTACTCTGGGCCAGGGCTGGATGAAGCCAGGGGGCAGGGGAAAAACCCTACCGGTACAAAGGGGGCGAGGCACAGACTTTCGTGGAGACCCAGAGTAGGTGGAAGGGAAGAAAACTACAGGAGCAGTCAAAGAAATCTAGAGAGTGGAGCATCACCTGGAGTGTGGACAGATGCAGAGATCCAACAGGCAGGGAGGACGTGGGCTGGGTGTCATCTCTAAGGAGGAAAGCGGGGCGGCTGGGGGAGGGAGGGCTTAGAAGCAACAGAGGTCGGGGAGCCAGCGATAAAGGAGGAAACAAATCCCAGCACAAGAAATCCAATGAGATACAATGGGTAAGGTTTCCTAATCATGATGCTGACCTTAGTTTATTTACTAAAAAGGACCCTTAGCCCAGATGACTGGTGGACAGAACTCTGTCTTTTACCAAATGACAGTGACCATTTTCTTATCAAAACAGAGTTAGCAATTTTGTGTTGGATTCCTTTTCAAAATATTACACTGCTCAGTTCAGCAGAGCAGAGAGGCCCCAGTCCGTCAGCTGGGAATTTTATAGCACCGTCTACAAAAGTAACTTTGGTTAAGATTGAAAATGACTAAGTCATTCCCCAGCACTGCCTGAGAAGGCTGTAACTACCGAGCCGTGAGGGTAGAGGGACACACAGAGAGACAGGGTGATGGGCGAGAGGTAACAGAACAGAGTAGACAGGGACAGCACAAAAGCTTGTGACCAGAACAATGCTAGTATCTGTTGAGCTCACTAAGCTTTTGGATTCAAGGGTCAACCAATCTCTGGGACCAGATTAAAGGGATAAGAGTCAGGTGATTTGGGGGGGGAGGGTATTGAGAATCTGGAAGACTGAACAAAGTCTACGAGGAAAAGACAGGGGCAGGATCTGCGGTACGGACCAGGCCCCAGGGACCTGCCATGCTTGTGTGCGAGAGGAAAGCTCTGCCCCGCACATCTGCAGAGCTGAAAGCGCAGGAAGGCCGCACAACGGCCTCCGTACCACTTCTGATGATGACAGAGAAGGAAAAACACTGACAAGGAAGTGAACTCACACTAGGAGACACTTGTGGGCAAAGGTGAGCTCGGTGTCTGTGCGGAACAGCCAGAACGTAAGATGTCATTACATCTAAAAACCATAAATCAAGACCTGGGCAGAGACAGAAATCAAAAGCTACAGGGAATGAAACAAGTAGCAGTGACCAGAGCAAGCATAGAGAGAGCAGCGGACAGACTCCAGAAAGGCAGCAGATGTGGGCACATTCCACACAGCATTATTTACTACTAGGATGAAACAAGGTCCTTGTGCGCCAAATGGGCTGGCTGATTAAGACAGTCTGAATGTTTGCTGTGGGCTGCCTGACTCAATCCTGCTTAAAAATATCCCAGACTGTCAAACAAGACTAAATACGAAACATGTTCCAAGGCTGCTTTTGCTGCCATAGCTGTCCTTCTGGGTGTGCAGACAGAAATGCTAAAAAGAGAATTTTTTTTCAAATGCATCCATTTATCCTATTACACCAGACTCACTCAGGAGTTGGCCAGCATTTAAGAGAAAGCTCTAACCCAAGCTGCCTTCCTGGGCCCCTGCACATGAAGACAGGCAGGACCATGGGCCCTTGTGGAGTTTATTTTGTTCAAGTCTTGTACTAGTGTTGGTACTTGTGTTGGGGCAAAAAAAAAAAAGTTCCAAATCAAGTTTCACCTGCTTCCAGCCCCACTTACCCACATGATCTTCACAACCCTGCTCTTCTTCCCCGACAAGCTAGCAGGTCTAAACACACGCGTGTCCCTCCACTAGTTCATCTTTCTCCAAAGCACATCCCTCGCCTCCCTCACCCAGGCTAACAGAACTGCCAGGCCCCCAGAGGCTGGGGATTTTACACCTGCAGGGCATGGCCAGAAGCAAGGTCTGGCCTGTGGACTAATCCAGGAGCTGGACAGGCTCCAGACGAGCC